ATGAATTTCGGGGTTTCGCAAACCCTAGTTCATCGATCAAATGATACCATCTTCAAGATGTTAAATAAGTTGATGATTCAACCCTATATATAGTAAAATCACTCGAAAAGGCAGCACTTCGTATTACCTGTTTAATCAACTTGATCTTCGTCTTCGTCACTTACATATTCCAAGGTGTCGGGAAGTTCTGGGTTCTTATTGATTAACATATCACATCCAGAATCGTCGAGAGTTTTCAAACGGACCAGTTTCTTATAGCTGGTCGGAGCCCTCAGAAGCTTTTCGCACTTGGCATATCTCAACATGGAGAGACGTCGCAAATCCAAGACAGACGACGGTACCTCCACAATCCCTGTGCCAGATATATCAAGCTTCTCCAAGCTCGAGAGAATCCTAATGGTGTCGGGAATGCTTGATATACCCTTGCAATAGCTCAAGTCAAGTTCAATTAATGCCTCCATGGACGGCAAAATCTCTGGGAACTCAGAAATCTCAGGGCAAGACGAGCAACTGAGTTTGGAGAGAAGTGGTGCAGATTTGATCAGATAGGGAACTTGTTTGATCATGGTATTGTCCAAGTTGACTTCTTTGAGACTTGGGAAAGCTTGACTTTGGTCACCCTTTGCATGATCCAGGAAATTAGGGTTCAGGCGTCCACATGAGTTGAGAATTAGGGTTTGGAGCTTTGGATTATATATGATGGAGTCATGAATCTCGTCTAGGCTAGTGCAACTTGTGAGATCAATCACCTCGAGCTTTTTCGCGGTTGATAGGTCGGGTAACCTTCTAATGTACTTCGATGAAAAGAGATTAAGCTCTTTCAAATTTCCAAGATCCTGCAAGCAAATTAAATGTATATGAAACATCGAATCATTTCATATTCAGAGCTATATGTCATACTCTCGCTTGTGAGTTGTAAACGATTCTTTAACTGTGAATTACGGTTCATCATTTGGTACAAGTAAGAAGCACTCACGCCGAATACCTCAGAGAGTTAAGTTCTATGCATACTTACCACATTATCGCTTTCCCATAGTTGTCGGATGTTGCTGTGTTTCAGCCTTAATACGTGGAGGTAGCGAGGAGAAAATTCAGAAGGCAAAGATGCGGCCGGAAATAAGTCCCACTCAAGAAGCCTCAGCTCGCCGGAGAGGGATTTAAGTTCCTCACGAACAACCACTTTCTTACTTTTGATTGAGAGTGGAAGGGCATGGGCTGAGATGACACTCCTTTTCTTCGCCACTTGAATGGAAAGCAATCTCAGGTTCATCATCCTTTCGAAAGTAGATGTGTTTGCGCGTACCACTTCTTGAGTTTTGCTCATATTCAGTAGGATGCCTTCTGTTGCTTCGGTTCCCTGGACAAGAGAAACAACCAAACATACATTCGTTAATTTTCGTAACCTCTACGTATTGGATGTAGACATTATGCAATCTCCTCGTAAGTTATGTACCATGTTTTTGCTGAGTAGGGTTTGTAAATCTTTAGCCTTCCACAACCTCGATCGTTTCTCGAGCATCCTTTCTTTTCTCACGATCTTCTTGCCTAGGTCTTTCAACATGCCATGCATTTCTATCTCTCCCTTTGCCCTATTAATGCGGAGAAGAGACTTATCGACCAGATTCGAGACCAGATCTTCATCCAACACTCTCGTCACGAAGTTATAGTCCTCGTGGTTGAAGAAGCAAGCAATGTCAAGGAACACGCTCTGCTCCTCCTCACTCAAACCATCATAACTAATCATCAACAGATTCTCAATTTCCTTATTGGGGATTTTCTTAAGCTTGTCCAATGCACAATCCCAGTATCCCGTCGACCTACCAAGCAAAGCCGCGCCCAAAACTGTTAGGGCTAGCGGGTGGCCACTTGCATAAGATACAATCTTCTTGCACCTCTCCATGAATTCACTCGGAGGTCGATCTTTTCTGAACGCATATGAACTCAAAAGTTGTAGGGCTTTATCGTCGTCGAGACCTTTGACTTGGTGCACTACCTGACAGCCGACGTTCTTGAGTACCTGCCGATCTGTGCTCGTCAGGATGATTCTACTTCCTGCTCGAAACAGATTGCATAATTTCCCATGAAGCAGCTCTTTCAGGGATCTTAAACTATCCATGGTCACATCGTCGACGACGACGAAGGATCTTACGCGGCCAACACGATCGAGTTTCAGATTGGTGGGCATGACGTGCGCTTGCTCGTCGTCGCCCAGCAACTTGTAGAAGAGTTCGTTCTGTAGATCGATCACCTGTGTCTTCTTCAGCTGGGCTGCGAAGTTTTCGATGAAATGGACTCCTTCGAATTTCTCCGCGTCTATTTTGTGGAACATAGCTTTGGCAAGAGTGGTCTTGCCAATGCCGGGCATGCCCCAAAACCCTATGACTCGGTTGTCGTTTTCGTCGTCGAAGCTCAACAGTTTCTCCACGTCTTGGATGTCTTGGTCTATGCCGACCAAACCTTCCATAATAGGAGAATACGTTTGTCTGATTGCCCCGAGTATGGTTCGAGTAATTTCTTCAACAAGATGACGTTCAGGCCTAAAAGACGCAAGGAGTTGAAATGGTCACTAAAATAATGAGCAATGATTTATCTACCCAAGGAAATAGTAGCTAGAAAGCTTGATGTTTGGTTGGTATGCCACTTTTGTGACCAAAAACTTTAATGTCACCACGACTATTGCTGACCGTTAAGCGGGAGTGGTCACAAAATGGAAATGGAGAATAGACTGAATAGTTGATTGTTTAATAAGCAATATCCACTAGTAGAAATATCGGTGGGTTGGGAGGGGAGCGAATCTCCTCAATTATTTTTTAACGTGCTATATATCTTTCTTTTTAATCCAGAATTATATTAAAAAAATTATATGAAAACAATATAATTATTATTAATACTAATATCACTACAAGGAAAATGACCTATGGCAAGGGTTTAGCGGCAAGGGTTTAGGAACCGATGTTATGATTTTCGGAATACATTGTAGCAATGGTTTGTTGCATGTGTTTGGAAACCCCTGCTAGGCTTAAACTAAATTACTAAAGGAATGAGCTCGTTTAAAGCGATAGGAATTTTTGTAAATATAAAATACGAACTAGATAAAAAAAAAATCAACGGATGAAGTCGATCCCGGTCTCCCTCCTCACTCGCTCCGGCTGAAATTCGATCCCGCTCTTCCTCTTCACTCGCTCCGGCTGAAATTCGATCCCGCTCCGGCTGAGATTCGATTCAGTCTCCCTCCGCACTTGATTTGACGTCGATTCGGTCTCCCTCGGCACTTGCTCCGGCTGAAAGTTTATGCGGCCTCTGTCCACACTAGCTCTGATTGAGAGGTGATTCTCTGATTTTCTCGCTCTCTCCTTCACTCGCTCTCTCTAGATTTGACGTTCTTAGGGATTGTAGTGCCAATGGCTGCATGCACTATACAATCTTAGGGATTGTAGTGCTGAATTCGAGCTCCTTATACTTTTGAATCTATCTCTTTTCTAAAGGATTCTAAACAATTCAGTTGACTTGATCGAATAGTTGTAGTATTGGACTTTGATATGGATTTTGACTATTACACTGTGATTTAGTTCATCGTCATGGTGTGCTTTTTCCTCACTATTGGTTTTATGCAGTTGGTGCTTAATTTTGTTACCTTCATACCACGAATCAATACCCTGCCCTGACTCTTACAATTCACTTCTCTCCAAGTAGCTCCCTCCATCTACGAAGCCAATAAAATGGTGGTAGGGTAGTGAGGGAAGAGACAAAGTGGGGCAAAGGGGAGGATTCTTGCTCTTATGTGATGGTTCCATCTATCATATCGATCTCAATGTATCCTTGCAAGGCCGAGGAAGGAAGGATGAAGCACACATATATACGTGCAGTTCTATGTTAGGAGGGCACTCCTCATCAGTGATTATTCACTACCATGGTCCAATCAGAAAGTATATAATATATGAACCTGGTTTTTATACAACTCGTTAAAGTCTCTCTGCATATGTACATTCTCCCCTGCTTCTACTTCTTATTATTCCTCTGGGTATCTAATGCAAGAGCGGAGAGATGGGGTTATTAGACTGTTAGAGAGCAAGTTCCAGTCATTGCAACTGAATATCTAGACGTGCATTTCATATAATTATTTCAAAACTATATTTAGATGTGTTATAATGTTCTGAATTTGTCTTCCTTCTGTTGTTTGCATTATGGCAGATGGTTTCAAGTTCGAGGAATCTAAGAAATTTGATACCTGGGTTATGAGAGCTACAACGAGGATTCCAAAGTTGTAAGGAGAAATGACTGAAATCATACCTGGGTTACAAGGATATATTCCTTCTAATTCTCGAACAGGAGTTCCTTATGTCATTCCAAAGTGAGTAGAAGAAAAACTTTAAAATCATTAGTGTTTCTGTCCATTCAATACTACTACCGATACTGAGGATGGTTCATTCGTTTTCTTAAAAAAGCATAATGTAATATGGTTTGTTACTAAAGCATGTGAAATAAATTTCAATTGCATTAGTTGTTACAATATCCCATTAAGCTTTACTCTAACATGGATGTTCCTATGCTGCAAGAATAAAGTTGCAGCTTGCGCTAAGCATTTTGTGGGAGATGGTGGAACAACCAAGGGCGTCAATGAAAACAATATGGTAATAGACAGGCTGTTAAGCATTCACATGTCTGCCAATCCTGACTCTCTGTGATCAAAGGCGTATCAATTGTCATTGTATCTTACTCCAGCTGGAATGGGAAAAAGATGCATGCTAACCGAGAGCTAGTAATGGGCTTCCTCAAGGTCAAGGGTACATGTCATTACATTCTCATGATTTTTTTAGCCACCATATCAGATTGATATACAATAGATGCTAATGTGGCATGCCTCTGGGCAGCAAGCTTTGTGGTATCCAAGATTCACATTTCATCTTACTGTGTGTCACAGGCTAGGCCTACATGACTAATATGATATCATGGCTCTGACTTCATTATGTTCTTGCTAACTGTACTTTCCCTTCCTGGATAATTTCTATGGGTTCGTTGTCTCAGATTGCCAAGGTATAGACAAGATTACCTCAAACCCGCATGCAAAACACATATACACTGTGCAAGCAGGGATCCTAGCTGGCATTGATATGGTTAGTAGTTTCGATTGTAGAAATATCACATGAGATTGATTCGCAGGGAAATGTTTTCAGTTATTTTTCATCAATTAATAGCAGGCGGAAGTGAATGATTTGCTAATGATGGTTCATTGTACCCAGGTCATGGTTCCCTACAACCATACAGAGTTGTTTGATGATCTTACTCTCTTAGTAAAGAAAAATGTCATTCTAATGGATTGAGTTGAAGATGTTGTTGGAAGGATTTTGCTGGTTAAGTTCAATCTGGGTCTATTTGGAAATCCTATGGCTGACCCGAGCTTTGTCAATGAACTTGCAAGCCAGGTTGGTGAATCACATGAACACTTATACCCCCATAAATAGGATAAACTGTACCACATCACTTTATTTTCAGTGTCTGTATCATGCACAGTTGAATTTAGCTCAATTTTCTTCCATCATTGGACTTGGTTCAAGAGTGTTGATCAGATGCCAATCAACCTTGGAGATGCGCATTACGACTGTTCGAATATGGGCTCAAGACAGAGGCGTTAAATGGCTCCATCGCAAGGTAGGTAAATATTCCATCACTACATGCCTGCCTCATTTCCGAACGGGTTAGTGCCAAAGTAGCTTAATGTTCACTAGATAATTAGCTCGTGCATGTGATTGGCAATCCGTAAATTTGTGATACAATATTATCATGATTTAGTTCACTTTAAGGATTCTGGTATGGGCATTATGTGTTTCTAGTTAGTCAGCTTCGAAGATGCAAGCTACTGGTATTCTGGTGTAGTAGACTTTCAAGGCGAGAACTTGTCTGCATTTTGGACATATTTGTGCTTTAATATGTAGAATTGTGGACTATCTTAAATTGGTCAAATTTAGCTTGTTTACTACAGATTTGGAACACTTACGACAGGGGATGGTTACATCTCTCGTGAAGGAATGACCTTAGTTTATTCTGGAACATTGCAGCTGGAAAAAATGCAGCAAGAGTTCTAATTGTTTGAATCCATTTTGTAGCATATGGCCCTGGGATGTGATGTGCAATAAACAACTGAGGGCTCTTGTCGGATTTGAGATATCATAATAAGAATATTACAATTTATTGAATTTTTTTTGTTTTCGTTTACTATTTATTTGATGTTGAACCATTAGAGAAGTTAATTGTATGGATATGGTGTGATTGAATATCATAATAAGAATATTTCAATTTATTGAAGTATTATTGTTTCTATTTACAATTTATTTGGTGTTGAACCATTAGGAAACTCAATTTGTGTTTCTCTCATTTGGAATGAACAAAGAAAACCCAATATGAGTTAACATATAGTGACGGGAATATCCTGACATTAGTGACGGAATGTCTTCGCTTTAGTAACATTCCCAATCCGAGTTCACATATAATGACGGAAATATCCTGACATTAGTGACGGAAAGTCTTCGCTTTAGTAACAGGAATGTCGTCCCGAAAGATTTTAATGTAGCAAGGGTTCAAATCCCTTGCTAAATGTAAGTTAAGTGACCATAATCCCTTTCAATTGTAGTTACGTATAACGAGGGTTTTAAACCCATGCTAACGTAGCAAGGGTTCAAAACCCTTGGTATAACCCTTGCATAGGACTTCCACCAAGGGTCACTCAAAACCCTTGCTACACATAGCAGGGGCAGCTTTGCCAAGGGTTCGTCCAAGGGTTCGTAAAACCTTTGCTAGATCTTGTAGCAAGGGTTTAAACCCTTGCTATAGGCAAAAATAACCCTTGCCATAGACCCTTTTTTTTGTAGTGTATATATGTTGTCTGTATACCATGGTGGTAATGCATGCTAGTATACATAAGACTGTACCATTGAGATATGGAAATGTACACGATGACGACGGTAAGAGTATACTATGGTCTAGAATGACAATATACATGATAATTGGAAAAATACTAACCACCATTTATCATATTTTACCATGGTCTATCATCACTTCATCAGTTACCACGATAGATCATGGTGAGCCCGTTTATTTCCGCGCAGATTTTGAGTTAAAAACAATGACGGTGCAGAGTGGTAACCACCATTTATCAATATTAGTGATTTTCCTTTTACCATTCATTAGTTTCAAATTAGATTAAATAGAAAAACAAAGTCATTTCAATGGTAAAAAAAAACCCGGCATAATTAAAAGGAATGGTTTACATACTTGGTGACTAGGGAATCAAACCCTGAAATGTTGGCCGCCTGCTTGAGAGCAGCCGTCCAGGTTTTGAGTTTGGCCTCCATCTCTTTACTGGGAAGCTTCTTCTCATATTCAGTAAACGCATCTCCGTAGCTTCCTTTCCGGTTCCTCACATGGGAAGGTGTCACCCCGCCGTAAAACACCGGCACCACCTTCCGCTCGTATTTGCGCGAGCACTCCAAAATCTTGACAAGCTCGTCGAGGCACCAGTCCGAATCCGCGTAATTCGGGGAGAAGATGACGACGTACGACGAGGATCTCTCGATCGCATCGATGAGCGTGGGCGAGATTTTGTCTCCTCGTTTGAGATTCACGTCGTCCTTGAAGGTGAGGACGTGTCTTTCTTCGTTCATGTGAGCGAAGAGGTGGCTTAGGAAAGTTTGCCTGACGTCGGTTCCTCTGAAACTGATGAATGCATCGTACTTGCATGAAGGGTTTGTGTTTTCATTATCTGGAGGAGGAGGAGGAGCAGCAGGAGGAGAAGGATCAGGAGTAGGAACTACTTTCTCTTCTTTGTTGCTAATAAGATTAGCACGAGGAGGTGGAGGAGGATCCTGATCAGCAGGACGAACTACAATACGACCACGAGAAGGAGGTTTAGGAGGTACACTACAAATCGCCCAATTAGGACCTGTAAGAAGGCGACCAAGAGGTGGAGGAGGTCGAGGTTCAAATGTTCTCGTCTAAGGATTAACGAGTAGACGACCACGAGGAGGAGGAGGAGGAGGTTGTGGTGGTGAATCCTGACTCATGGGATATGAATGAGAAAGACTGTGAAGAAGAGGAGGATTGGTGGGATGGATGGTTGAAGAAGCCAAAGGACAAGAAGTATGGAGTGCAAGAAAGAAGGTTTTTTTTCTTTAGAGAAATGTAGTTGCTCGAGGATGTCTATCCCCTACTTATATAGGTGCTCGCAAGTAAAGGAACACGATCCTTTAATTTGATGGCAAGTATGAAATAAAGAACATTAACCTTTGCTTTTTACTCTTGTTCCAATTGAGAAAGTGCATGGTGGAATAGTTTTTGTTACCCAAGTCTTTTGATGGGTAATTCTTTTCCAACTTCGAACGCCAAGAATTACTTGCAATTGCCTGTGGAAACAAGCGAGGCATATAGTAATAGTACTTACCCAAACATTATTCTTTTCTATCTAATCAAACAAATTAACGTAAGGTATGCACTGAACTCGATCGAAAGTTGAAAGTGACAGACTTTCGATATTCGCGTCATATGTGGGAGGGAGAGTGTAACCAAAGCAAAAGTCTATTAATCTATTGAGCATCGGTTTGGATGAATCTTTTTGGATTAATTTTTGCAGATTTCAAAATGTACTATCACATATTTCGGATGATTTTTTTAAAAGACCATTTTCTTTTGATTTTGAAAGTTACAAATAACAGATTCCCCAAATTATTCTGCACTAATGATAAAGTTTATTAATATTCGATTTGAGCGAATTTGAATTTGAAGATTATAGATCACAATTTCGTCATGCGGCTATTTCCTTAGATGATTCAGTCAGTTAATCGCCGATTGGGGAGGATTTTTATTTTGGGCAATTTTCGGTAGATTACAAAGGCGTACCATCACATATTTCGAGTGATTTTTCCAAAAGACAATTTTCCTTGAATTTTCAAAGCTACAGATCACGGATTCACCCTGAGGCTATTCTTCACCGATGATTAATTATATCAAACACAGATTTGAGCGAATTTTTTCCGGGACCATTTTTTGTAGATTCTAAAGAGTACCATCACTGATTTCGGACGATTTTTTCGAAATGTCATTTTCTTTGTATTTTGAAAACTACAGATCACTGATTCGGCCTAAGGCTAATCTCCACCAATGATAAGGTGTATTAATTGCCGATTTGAGGATATTTTTTTAGAGGACATTTTTTTAACTTTTGAAAAATATTACGAAATGTCATTTTTTATTTATTTTGAAGGCTATAGATCACAGATTAGGCCAGAGTCTATTCTTCACCAATGATTAATTGTATTAAGCAACTATTTGTACACAGTTTTTTCCAAGGCCCTTTTTGGCAGATTCAAAAAGGAGTACTATCACATATTCCGGTCAATTTTTTAGAAATGCAATTTACTTGCATTTTGAAGTCTACATATTACGGATTCAGCTCGATGCTAGTCTCCACCAATGATAAAGTCTGTTAATCGCCGAAAGTACCTCTCTCTAAACGTACATGAGCAACCTTTTTTGTCCGCCGTACTACACACCAACAACTACCTGTTTTCCGGTGAGAAAACCTGCATTAAATAAAATTGATTGCACCTTTGATTTCTAAGAAATGATTACTAAGACACTATTCAAATCTCATCAAACACAGTTTGAACGAGGGTTTTTGATTGATGAAATTTTTGGGAATGAAAACTAAATTAAGTTACTCCTACTCCTATGGAGGTTCAGCGAGAGCTCCAAACTACGACTATGGCTACATTTGCAGAGAAAGGATAAAAAATTGACATAGGAGTCAGTTGTGTGGTTTTGGGAACCATTCTCTCAGTTGACCCTCCTTCCTATTTACAGCCATTGAGAGATAACCGTCCTAGAAAACTGCCTCCTGGATAACTCCCAAAAAGAACCGCTCCCTAATTCCTCGGACATGGTGGTTAGTCCTTCAACCACCTTGGTGCCTCTCTTGAACTGTTGTGACTCTTGGAGTGTTTCTTGCCTGATATGGTCTTGTTCCAGTGATATAATGCTCCGCCACCACGCCCTTCTCATTCGTGGCCATGGCCCCTCTCGTGAGGGGGCATGGACCTCTCAATCATGCAGATGGCCCCTCTTGTCAGGCGACATGTCCTTCCCAATGGCACGACCTCCTACGAGAGGCTCATGTACGTCCCTCATTGAATCATGTCCATGCTCACTATGACGTAGTGGCTTGGACTTAAAATCAATATTCGTAATGCCCAACTTAAATGACATTATTTATTATAATTAATATGACCTGATAAATTCATTAATTACCTTGTAACTCACCAAATTTTTGCACTACCTTAATAGACTAATTACTAGGGAGGAAAACAGCGGTCATGATAAGTCAAATTTTATTTATTTCAGAGGAGAGAAGAATTCAATCCCCATTCTCGATCTCGTACGGGAAGTTATATATACTATGACGTACAAATATGCAGGCTGCATGCATGGAATTATAGAAACCGCTGCACACATGCATGGAATTGGTGTCCAAATTAGTAATCACCACTCAGTGTCGTCACCACAGCCTTAAGAGCGATCACCTCTTTCTCCTTCTCTTCAAGCGACTTCCTCAACAACGACTCCTTCTCCTCCGTCACCTTCTCCTTCTCCTTCATAACCCTCTCCTTCTCCTCCATCACCTTCTCCTTCTCCTCCACTACCTTCTTCCAGCTCTCGTTCAACGCCGAATACTTTTCACCGCCACCAGCAGCAGTACCATCATTAGCCGGCGGAGCCACCAAAACGGCACCGCTGCTCATGTCCCACACGCTCCACACCGTGCTGATCCGTGGCTTCACCCCGTACTTGGACCAGCCGAAGCGGTCGTTGATCCTCAGCCGCATGATCGGCTGGCTCGCCACGTACACGAAGCAGAGGCCCTGGCGATTGACGATGAGGTGAAACGTCTGGCCGTTCCGGTCGGTGAGGGTCAGGTCCTTGGCCAGCTCCGTCAGCTTGTCGCCTCCGATCGTCACGCCGGAAACCTCCAGCGCCTTGTACGAGGCCGTGATGGTAGGCCCCACCGCGGTCGGAGAACTCCAGCGGGAGTTGCTGGCGTGGATCATCTCGAAGACGTTGGGGTCGTCCATGTAATCGTAGACGAAGATGTTGGTAGGGTAACCTTTGAAGCTTCGGATGAACTGGTTGTCGGAGTTCAATTTCAACACCGACATTATTTTGTTAAATCTTTTTAGTTTTGTGGAGGTTAGGAATATGGTTGGGGGATGAAATTTGCTTGATTTTGCTATATTTATAGGTGTTAGCGGTGCAGGCATTCTGGGGAATGTGACGGCATCAAGCTAAGTTATCTTGAGTACCTTTGTCTTGCCTATACGTTTTGAATATCTCGGAAACTTCATCACCGATGTGACGAAAAGAAGAGCCTAGATGATGTTCGATCAATGTCCTTCTCATATACGGAGTCTTAGGTCCTAAGGTATTTAATATGATACTTTTACCTCTTTTGCTTCTTTTCTTGAGTTGATACTTTGACTTCTTGTTTGGTAGAGAGAGCGCCGTGAAACCCATAGTTAGGTCTCATAAAAAAGATGTAAAATCTTATCAAGAAGGCAAACTGGTAGGGTGAGTAGGTCGGGGACGAGTTTCGGCCGGATGATTGGAGGTCAAAGCGCGCCAAAGGGGCAATTTCACGGCTCATTGGCGAAGTCGAGATCACGGTCTTAGACCGTGATCTTTAAGTGAAGACCAGGAAACTTGGACAAAAAAAATGCAGCAGTTTCGGTCAAATATAAATCCCAAAATAAATAATGGAGAAGATCATGAAACTTAGTGTTAGCACACTGTTAACACTTTTAACAAGGGTATTATGGTAAGCATAATTCTCCCCTTCTCATTTCCCTTCTCTTTCACCTTTCTAGGTTGCTTCCATTGAACTATTATGTACAAATTACAATTTTGGTACCTAAAATTAATAGAACTTAATATTTAGTATATAAAAAATTCTTTTACAAATAAGTCCTGACAATATTGATGAAATATTATATTTTCATACTTAATTTTTTTTTATATTTTGATACTTAAACTTTTACAAATTTACAAACAGGTCCAATGTTATGATATGCTTTAAGGAACTTGTGGTATGTTTTACGAAATTTGTGGTATGGTTAGATAAAATTGTGCTATATTTTGGGTAGAGATATTATAAGCTTTGGAGTAGACACATATATTTGCCTCTTTACAAAATTACATTAGACACAAACCATTCATTTAAAAAATAATAAGAATAAGTAATAATGCAAATTGATCTGAAAGATTGACAAGCCCTTGATAGGGGAAATCACACTATGTATTGGTAGATGATTAAATCCAATATGTCCAGGCTTTTGGGGCTAATTTCATTAGAAAGTTCAAACTATTCAAAAAGTGTCTTTTATGTCATAAACTATTTAATATGACAAATCTGACACAAACTATATGCGTTTTGTGACATTTGTGTCATAAACTATTCAATTATCACAAATTTGGCACAAACCACGTGAAAGCTAAGTAGATTTTCTGTTAAATACTAGATTAATTTAGAATACAAATAACACTTTTTAAATAGTTTTTGACTTCCCAGTGAAATTATCCCTTTCTCTTATAGGCTCGTATTAGTGCATTATTGGAATATTGTAATGCTTGAAATTTAATTAATGCAAATTGGGTCATGTAAAATATGTTCACCAGTCTTTAATTTAATTAGCTCGTGGCCAGCTTTCTGTGGAGTGGGTTAGAGATAATCCCTTCCATGCACGCCTTGTTTAAACATTTTATATACATGCATAAGCATTCTTTCGTTGACTTTCTTGGAGCAATTCAAGATCAACTGAAGTGTAAAATCTCAGTATTCTAGGGTGCATTATACTAATGATGATAGATTTTTTTCCAAGCCAATCTGCATTTATTTAAGGACAAATTCCACTACAAAACCGTAACCATCCAAACAAAATGTCAACTCTCTCTCTTACAACCTCGCTGGGGTTCGGGTGTTTCAAGGTTGGGAAGGTTTTTCTCCTCCCATCACTTCCCCGGAGGATGAGGTCCCTAATCCAAAATTCTCGGCCACTTATTACCTCAACAACTTACCTATTGGAATTGTCATACCGGTAAAAAAAAAAAGTTAATTACCACCCTCCACACTGTTAAATCTTGAACTACCTGCGTCATACTACTGTCATGTCATGAATCTGTCTCGATACATGCAGGGGATGGTGATAATTCATGCTTCCGGCGGTCCTGCTTTGATTTGTGTCCGCACCACCATCACTGTCATTTTGGTGCTCTAACTAGCTACTGACGACCATCGTCGAGATTCGGCCGGCGGCGGCTCTCTATATCGGTCCCTTTCATTCATTGGAGCTGCTGGGCCTACAACAAGCTTATTACTTTCTGCACTACTACTGCCGCCTATAGATAAGATATATAAAACCAAGCCATTATGCCAAGGCCATCTCAATATCTGATGATGCCAAGGCCATCTCTTCGGCCACTTCTCATCTTGTGTTCAAATATTTCGCTCTCTTTATTGACCATGCCACTCGCTACCGTTGGGTTTTCTTTCTCAAACAGAAGTATGAATTGCGTACTATTGCTCTTGAGTTTGTTCAAATGGTTCGTACTCAATTTGGCAAAAGAGTTAAGATAGTCTGTTCTGATACAGGGGGAGTTTAACTCCAACCCTCTCTTGGAATTCTACAGGGAGAATGGTATTATGTCTCAACAGTCTTGCCCCGGCATATCACAGCAGAACGGCTTGGTCGAGCGAAAACATCGCCATGTTTTAGATTTAACTCGAGCGCATCTTATCCACTCTAAGGTGTTGCCTGGTTTCTGGGTTGAGGCGGTCAATACGGCGATTTATCTGATTAATCGACAAGTTACCTCGGTCCTTGGCCAACAGTCTCCCTTCTTTTCGCTGTTCGGGAAGCATCCTAATTATTCTTGGTTGAAAGTGTTTGGTTGTACTTGTTACGTGCTGCTTCTCAACTTTAAAAGTAGCATTAGAACATTGAATTATGAATTTTAATTGATAGCATTAGTAGGATATGATTAAGTAATATATAATCATAACTAATCGTTTCATTACCTAAACGCTAAACCTTCAATTTTCTACACAAACTCAAAATCCTAAATTGTAAATCCTAAATCTTTAAACGCTAAAACTTTCAAATCAAAGTAAATTTTAAGTGGTTTTTGTGCAAATTAATATTTTTTCTAAAGTAACAATTGACATCATTTTAGCATGAATCGCGTGCTCAGCATGATTATATTCGCTTCTTTGAATATTGTCCCACGATAGAGAACATGTATATATAAGATGGGAGAATTCATTTATTTTTACATTCCTCAGTAAGAGAAAAGGGAAACAAACATAAGTAGTACAGCCGATAATGAACTATTTCGGCAAATGGATTCCAGAATAGCAGAGATAATTAACTGGTCTTATTCGTTGATGACAACTGTAATGAAAATCAAGGAGCACATCACGAGATGGGCTACGTACGTACGTAGGAGCAGTAGTAGTGCAGAAAAAGTAGTAAACTTTGTAACGGATTGAGATCGAGCGCCGCCCGGCTGAATCTCATCGACGGTGAGTAGCTAGTTAGAGGAGCGGCAGCGCGAGTTGGACGGTGGCGCTGATACAAACATAAACAACGCCGGAATCTATAAGCAACACCCTGAGCGTATAGCTTCCCTGCATGCATGCAGCGACAACGAACAGTACCGGTCATGACACGACAGTAGTTGTATTAGTGCGCAATTCAAGATTCTGCATGCGGTGACATACATAACTAACTTACCGGTACGATGGTTGTTAAAGGCAAGTTGGTCGTTTCATAAGAGGTATAAAATCCTGGTTCGGGTTCCCCCCCGGGAGCGCCTTCGGAGTCACTGCCACCGCGTGTATACATGTTTTGCGAATCGCGAAACACAAGGAGGACGCCGGCCAAGTTGTAAAGCTCAACGACGATGTCCGTACTGCTTCTTGGGGCTACACCATCTGTTGTAACGGCAGAGGCTAGTTAACTTTAATACTTTATGCACACGGTACATCTGCGCGCGTTCATGCGTCGTCCGTCGAGTTTTACTATTTAGATAACGAAGTAACGAGAATATGTGGCAAATGATACGTGTGTGTACATACATCTGCGCCGTTCATGCGTTCCGGTCGAGTTTTACTATTTAGATAACGACGTAACCAGAATAATAAGTGGCATATGATACTATATCTTAAATAATTCGAAGGTCTAAATATTCAGACGGCATAGATTTAACCTCTTGACAATCTAGTTCAACGTAGACGTAGTTCGTACCTGTAGTATCTCCCGAGACCGCAACACTAAATGCGCCGCCGCCTCGCACGGGATCCGGGCTGACGTCGAGCTCGGCAATTCTCACGTAATAGGGGTCTGCGTATGTATACGTGTATGAAAAAAATTAAGTAAAAACGAAACTGTGTTTGGAAATAACATAGGAGAGAGAGAGAGAGAGACTAGCTGTGCAGTTCTGAAAAGACAGAGCTGATGAGGGTGCAAGGAGAGCAGAGATGGCGGCGAGGAGGAGGAGGAAGGAGAACGTTGCAGTACTGGTTGCCATTGCTACGCCGACGAAACTATCTGCTTGGGAAAAAAGAGGCTGCAATGCAATAGATATTGTGTTCTTTCACGAATACAGCTTAATTAGGCCATATATATAGGCTTAATTAGATGATGGATATATCACTGCACCCTCTATTAGATTAGATTAGATTAGATTAGATTAATGCATTCACTTTATTATCACGTACCGGATAAGCAATCATCCATTTCAATAAACGCATTATTTGCTGGCAAAATCATTTAAATCAAATTACAACTTAGATTCCAATTAAAGGTAACATTATCTGTCAACTATTTTCTTTCCTATTTTTAGTTGCTCATTTAAGAAATTAATAACGATATTATTGTCAGATGGAATTCTTGAGGAAAAGTAGTAATCTACTCCCACCAGTTGGGTTTGGAAGAAGAGCACTTCTACTATGTTTGAAAGAATTTTTTTTTTTAACTACAATTCGAAGTTGTACCATGACGTTAAATGTATCAATTAAAATTGTATCATGTAAAAGGAAATTGTACATTTATGTTATGGTACCATAACTAGGGCTGGTTAAATGATTTTTTTATGTATTGTTATT